GCGATAGCGAATTAGCGTCTTACTTGATCATATCATGAACTGCTGTTATTAGTCATATAGAAAATAAATCGCTATCCTGAAGTTTTTTATCTACTTTTCTAGCCATAGACCCAATCGGATGACGTCAAGTCGATGAAATAAACAACAAATCAGTCCAAGTATGCATAAAAAATTCCTTCCTATTCATTATTATAATAAATCCATTCCTTCATATCCTTTAAATATAAACTTAAGAATTAGCATCGATTAATATATTAGAGGGCAGGACAGCGATATCGCCATTCTTTTCATTAATCTTTTTTTAGTAATACAGTAATTTTATTCTGCCATTATCGTGTTCCTTCTAGGGCTTTTCATTCCTTTTTTTATTTCATTCGCTACTTAGTGTTGTTGCATTGTTTCACCCCATGTTGTCTAGAAATCAACATCCACTGACTGTTATTGTGAAGAGAAGCAATTTATATCAGAATGTGGATATAAATTAATACAGTGTTAGAGTACTTGACCTATAGAAAAGTGTCAAACTGACCTAATCGGTACATTGACTAGCATTCAGTATTTTCATTTTTTGATCTTATAGATAGAAACGACATCAATCGATTATATTATTTTATTCATTCTTCTGGCCTTTTTGATCGTCACTAATAATACATCACCGAAAAATTCACGATCAAATTAAAGCCGTGAAAAACTAATTTCTTATTTGGTGATCGAATCGCTTTATTTTACAAGCAATCTCATTAAAACTTATGTCGGCTATTTCAAGATTTTAACTTATCCAGTAGTCCAATTACCAAACTTTAATATCTTAACATTTTCAAATTATTGGATAGAAAAGCTAATCGAAATTCATTGGAGCGTTAGCTCTTGTGATCATACTTTATTTTTAGGTGAACCGAAAGATAAAAAGGAACAGGACGTCCTTTCATTCATATATCAATACAACGATTAGATACTGCTGTGATAATTCTCGTTTAAAAGAATCAACTTTTATTGGATTACCAAAATATCAGTCTCGGATTAATCTAAAGTTAATTGCCGATTTACTTTCATTCATGAACAACCGACTTGCCCAGCAATGACGAGTTGAAACTATAAATGCGGACTTAGCCTCTGACTACAATTAAATTAACATCCATCAACGGAATCGGTAACTTTGTGACAATACGAGAAAGAAAACTACCCTGGTAGAAAGGTAAAATCGAATCAATCTATATTTTGGATATATATTTTATGTAGTTGAATCTACCATATAGCTTGCGATAATCTCCCTTTGAAAAATAAAATAGATCATAAAGTCAACTGTCTACTAGTTTCAAGCAATTGCTTCTGACACGAAAACCTTACTTAACAATCATCGTTGATTATTACACAACTGCTGCCTATATCTAGTTTTGTCTCGGTGTAATATCTGATCTCCTATTACTAATACAGTAATATGTAATTTAATTCCTTACATTATTCTTAGTTTATATTTTTTATCAGTTTAACTCTGTACAATAGCGAAATTGTCTTGATAGCATTGAATTTTTTACCATAAATCCATTACAGGACTCCGGAATTCTTGATCAAGTCCTACGTATCTAAGTAAATAATAGTTGTTTGTCTAGTTATTTCCTCACAAAGTTGAATGCACTGTGCTATTTGTTGCCAGTTTATCATAATGTGCATACTAATTCCTGTACATTATTGTAGTTACTAGCCCAATATCTCACATTTTAGTCCACCATGTTGGACATAGATTATACTTAATCAGTCTTTACTGCCGGATATGTCTCTGCGATAGAAATATGAAGATACCTTAATCTACGAAATTTATCAATGTCTAAATACCCTTATTAGTTTATATTGAACTAAAGCAGATACTTTTTGTATCAATAGATGAATATTATTAGTTTATTTGCCTCATTATTATTTTATTAAGAGTAAACTGGGATATACTTTTCTAACGTAGTTTGTGAGATATTTTTCTCGAAAATTTTGCATTCTAATTTTAATTACGTATAGATAGAAATCGCACAAACGTCCTGTAATGATCATTGTAAAGCCAAGTACAAAACTAAAAGTTATTTTAGAAGCAGGAAAGTTACGATAAGTGCTATACAGCTTTCTGTACCTTATTTTTTGAAAAGTGTTTCTGTAGAGAAAAAAATAGCCTGAGAAGTTTATAATTCATCATATTCTAGCGTAGATGTCGGCTTAGGATATCTAACATTTCGATGTTTACTTCAAATACAGTCTGTTTATTTATTCTTATTTTACCTTTTATAAAGAAGCGATTGGTTAATTAAAACATACAATATAAAGATAACTTTTGCAATTCATATAATATATCTATACGATGTTATCATAGTGATACTGCGCGGTTGCTGGCCATACTAGTATTAATTGATTCCAATTTTCGTTAAAATAACATAATTTTACTTTCTTATTTCCCTCCTTCTGATATCAACTATGCAATATTACTTGATCCAATATAACTATCATTTATGTAAACGTATATACAGTTATCACACCATCTAGTTACAGTTTTAAGTTTACAAAGGATATTTTCTTACTTATTAACTTACATCAGCTGTATAAGCCTTGGGAATAAATATCGTATGTAGATAATAGGTATCATCTGCTGTAGTAATGGTCTTCGGTTTTATTGCGACATTTTTACTGTATGATTTCCATCAATATAATCTATATTATGAAATCGGAGATAGAACATAGCTTACGAATTTTTTGCGTAGGCTCATTGTCTTCCTTAAATTCTAATGATACTTTACGAACCATAATATAATTATTAGCGATGCCAGATAATCTTAGGTATTTTAACAAGATACATAGTTCGTATATCAGGTATTTAGGTCTATACTAGAATCAATTTCTGTATGAATCTTAGTTTTCAATTGCATCGAATAATTTAACATAAATGCTTTATCTCTACTGACATTAATCATATGTTTTAGTTGTAATTTGGGAGTTAACAAAATTTTGTTTAGCTCAACCATTCATTGCGATTTTCTACAGCAATTTCACAATTTACATAAACGAGTGTGCCCTGGATAACCTTTGATCGCCTACATGGCCAATATCTGGAAATTTTTGCCATGCTACTTTAATTTTACTCTATTCAGATGGATTGACTCTAAATTAAAATCTAGTACAAATTAAATTCTACTGTTAGCTATCAATAAGGCCCAATTTAGGAAATGGTAAATTCTAGATTTTACCTACAACGTGAATTTTGCGAAATGAATCGATATGATGAAGGTGGACTAGGATTCTTTCCGTTTTCATTTTTATTTTTAATATAAATTATATTACTGGAAGTGTCATTATTATTAGATAAATGATACAGTTAGAAAAATAAATCTTAATGACAATACCTTAAATCAAACTAGAATGTCTCTATTAATTATCATTAAATTTTTACTCGTCTGTTAAAGATTCAATATCGTTAATCTAGGCTATATTGATGTACAATCCTCAGATGCATGCATAATCAAGCCGCTATTTTTGCAGGGCAGATTATTATATTTAATGCCTGGTTTCAGAATGATTAGAAATAAACTTGACATTCGGTTGCTATTGACTAACCGATTGAAGTTATAGCTGAACTTTTGAACCTTTTCTACGAGGCACAATAAGATAATCAATCCGTTCGTATGATCAAATTTTGGGCTACTGTAGCGAGTAGTGCCACTAGAATTAAATACCATGCACTGCGAGAATTCTAGATGCTTAAGATAGTTTTAAAGTATTTTCAACTGTTACTATAAAACTTGATATGCACAATTCTAGTCCGGGGAAAGATTACTCTAAAAAGGTACTTTACTTTTGGAAGTACTTTATACTATTAGTAACTGTTAGCAGTAAAGCTTGTTATGCGCAATTTCAGTCCAGTAAAAGACTACATTAAAAGGTATTCTGCTTTACGTTAAATGTATTAAAGCTTCAACTTTAATGCTTTTCACTTATATTAATCTAATCATCATGTTAAATCAAAAGCAAATGAAACATTTATTTTTAGGCTATGTAAGTGACATAAGACTTACTCTATAAGAACTTCGAAACCTTGTTAAGAAGTTATTCTAGATAACCCTGTTTTAGTGAGCAAAGGTTCAGAATTACTACTCTAGAGATCTGATTGAAAGCTCATATTCATTAAAATAAACAGTTGATGTCTTTATGCTTAAATTATGATTGTAATGAATGAATGATGATGACTTTACTGACGATATATTAAAAGAAAATTTTTCTGTCAAAATATAACTAAATTTTTAAATGGTTGGATATAAATCCCTACATTTTTGTTTTCTTTTTTGAATAATTAATAATTTTATTGATGCTTTGCACAAAATTAAACTATTTTTCGATATTGCCTTTAAATATTCATATGCTAATAATGTTGCAGAGACTTGTAACATTAATCATTGTGATGAAGCGATCGGGATCAAAATACTTTGATTACTACTTCATTTCTTGGCAACATTACATTAGCAATAAATAGTAATATTTTATAAAATCGATTCGAAGCCAATTGAGAAACCATCCATACTACGTATAGTCGTAAGCGTAGGCAGGTTATATTATGATCACTCAGAGTGCTTTTTCGTATTCCAATGAGTTCACTGTATAACATTCCCTCTCGACAGACCCAATTTTTAGTATCTTGATTAAGCATACACTCGAAACATGTCCATTTGATCAGCTGTCTACGTAGCCCACGTTACTTTCTTTAATAATAAATGGTAAGGATCGTTTAACTTTGAAAATTTAAAATACCCTCTTTCCTTCATATTACTTGCACAAGATAAATTATAATATTATCGTTATAATGCAAATCCATTTCTAATTAATAAGTATAAAAATATGATTAATTCATTAATCATTTGATTTCTACTTCACACTTTTACAGATTGCTGTAAATCGTATGAAAATTGGCTATCTCAATGTAGAAGTGGAATTATTGCGTCTTGTTAATCTTTTGGCTAAGAAGTTTAGGGAAAATGTCGTCTATTGAGATTTTAGCGACATCTGCAGCATTTACTGTCCCAAGCAATCAATTAAGCGCAGATGCAATTGCTGAAAGTGTCGTATGGGGAATTATTGCCTTACTAACTGTGATTACCAACAGTTGCCTACTTTATATCTTAATTAAGAAGCGCCATTTAAAGATTGTTTCCAGGCCAATATTAATCAGCATCGCTATAGCAAGTATTCTATTTGCAATCCTATATATTTTACCACGTTGGAGCATCCCCAACATTTACCATAATCCTATCTTATGTCATATTTTACCAGTTTTGGGCCAATCATTTATATTAACAATTAATTTTCATGTATGGATTATTGCTGTTGATCGCTACATATTTATTGTTCATCCACAGCGCCATCGTGCCCATTGTACTAGAACTACAACTTGGACAATCTTATTAGTGGTCTGGATTATAACCTTATTGATGCCATTTGTGCCTTTAATGACCTATAGTCCGATCGATCCTAAAACTTGCGATTATATCGTTCAGGATAACTTGTCTAATGAAATCTTTTACTTAACCTATTTCATCGTCTTTTTTTTCGTACCGCTGATCATCATTACTGTAGTTTATATCGGTATTTTAATTATGCTGCATTCCAAACAAAAACGGTATAGGCAACAATTATCGATGGATACTTATGGATTAACACAAAAACATCATATTAAAAATGGACGCACTCTTGCCCATATGCTAACATTCATTGGTGTATTTGTTATATTTTGGCTACCATTTGTTTTAACCTTCTTGATTTTACAACTGAGGCCTAAAACAGACCTTCAGCTACAAGTACTCAAGGTTACGCAATATATTGCCTTCTCCTATCCAGCTTTTAATCCAATCATATATTCTTATTTTACATTAAAAATACGTCGAGAAATTTTCTCAATGTTTAGACAATGTGAAAATAAACTAGGCTGCAACATTGCTTGTATTCCTTATTGTCGTTCTGCCGCCATATCACCCGAGCAGCTAGTACAGGAACGTTATGATGTGGCAGCTCGCGTTATTGATGTTAAACATCCCTCGACGGTAGTTGCTGAGAATTCTTCTTTCTTAGATAGATGAACATTCTGGGACGTAGGCTAAAATATAATACTGTGTACCCTATGAAACTCGTATACTATTAAGAGAAGCTTATTCTCTCTAAAAAGATAGATATTTGTACATGAGTAGCGTCTTCGAAGAATCGCTTGAAAAGTAGGTACCTGGAACTAATATAGAGTTATGGACGTAGGAGGATAGATTATGATTAAGAAATATATATTTCGTTTTTTTACGATTAGAATTCATTGCTTACAATAGTAGCGATGAAATATTCGCCCATAGACGCATTTAAAAATTTAAGATACCAATGTTATTTAATTGAAGATAGATTTCTCATGTAAGTTTTATTTGTAAATTATACTGAATTTTCCGAGATAGATTTTCAAAATAGGATTAAAACTTTTTCTGATTACAATTGTAAAATTAGTTTAAAGAACGTGTAATGAAATCCTACATGAATAAATATTTATACTAAAACTTTATCTAAAATGCGTTTTAGATTTTAATTATGAAGGGAAGTACTAAACTTGTGATCTTCTTACTTGATGGTAATAAAAAATTAGATGAATTCTATATTTTCCTTTATGTTATACAGCTTCTGGTAGATATTTTAAGGCAGTATAGCAGTAGCAAAGATATGATAATTTATCTCTTTTGCAATCTTACCGATTCCTTGTGATATTTACGTTGTGAAAATATAGTACCATAATATGAATAAAAATTTGTCAAGAATTAGTTTAAGTTGCGTTAATACAAAAAATTTACTGTCGCATATATTAGGTCTCGAATAGACTTATTAAGGATTCTACTTATTCATTTATAAGTTATCATATAATACTACTCTATGTTAAAGCTCGATAATCATTAGGTCGTCAGAAATCATACTAGAATATGCCTAACGACAATAAACTCTTATGAAAGTTTTATTAGACATTACAGATTATGACTGAAATAAAAACAATATCTTCGTTGACTTTGCGATATCTGGTGCTGTGTTGAATATACTTCGACTAATATGGCGTTATTATAATTTTGTTGTAGCTATCAAATTCAAATATTTGATAAATTTTAGAATTCTATTTGGCGTTTAATGCAGCACGAGTGCTTAATCGCATTACTAAGGTTACTAGAAGTATCTTCGACTGTTGTTATTATGAGATTAGATGAAACTCTCATTATCATGATTTGAAGAGATATTCGAAAGATAGGAATAAAACTGTATAATTAATATAATGAAAATGAGAAAATTTCTAAATTAGAAGACATTTCGAGGTCGACTAATACTAACGATACAATTTTGACTTTAATACTTGGATATGTCATCATGATCCGAATTAAACTGGATGCTCCGTATTTGCGTTTAGTAATTGAGATTGTAGCTATAAGCTTATTTTCTTTTTTAATTAAAAATTAATAGATTTGTTAAGTTAATAGACCCCATTAAGTATACGAATGGTGCGTTTCGCAAGAATATCTTTGTAAGCATTTTAGTCTATTACATGAGGATGCAGGGTAACCCTCTTGACTTAAAATTTTACTAACAGTCATTGGCATGAATTTTGGAATTTAAAAAATTTTAATTGTATTGGACCTTTACTTCAATGGCAGATTCTAGATCATAAATAAGACTGATAAATTGGGACAACTTCGGGGATTTATTTCATAATTTATCATTATCAAGATAACCGCAGATAAAGTATACACGGTTATCATTTATCATTAATCTGTTGATATAAAAGCATAGGGCAATTTGAATAACATTGAACAAATCCATAAGCAACATTATTTGCAGGAAATTTGCTAAGAATTCTTACAGTCACGTCGAAACTTAGAACGAAAGAATGTAATTTTACAAGCTGAAACCTTACATTTAATACATTTTCACGTTACCATAATTGCTTTTAAATCGGCCCCGTGGTATTTAACATGTACAATTCATTTCGTTATAATAACTGATAGAAGATTGATAACTAAACTATTCTATATTCAAATTAATAAGCTCTCTTTGTTTAGATAGGACAAAATATCCGAGCATTCATAATTTCTATGCAGTGGATAAAGAGTAGCAAGTGGCCAGTTTATGTTAGCTTGCTTTAAATATTAATATGGCTTTGGAAGGCAGCAGTTTATTAAATTACCAATTTACAGGAATCGAGACCAGGCTCTTATATACTTTTATCAACCTTATTATATTCCTATTGTTGATTATTAGATGATTGAATTGATGTCTGCCCCTTGAAAGACTTCAATTCGGGTTTACTTTTATAATTCTTATACTGCTTGTATCTTAAAGTATAACAATTTGTGTTAATAGGCACTGAGAGCTTCAACTATACTTCTAGCCACAGGATTGAATATTATTTTGAAAAAATTAATAAAATTGTAAATTTTACCACATAAAATTGAAGTTTATGTCGGATTAAAATGACTTTATAGGCGTCCTTGGCGAAATTTTAGGATTCTTTTACATCATCAACTTCATTTTCTGCGAACCTATTGCATTAACATCTTCGTTGCCTTCATAATTTTTAACATTAAAATTTTGATTTTAATTTTACTTTTATCCACTTCCTTACCTACGCTATACTTAATATTTGTTCATAAAAATATTTAAAATTAGGAGTAGAATGCATACTTCATTTGATGAATGCTTTTTTTACGAAAATTTTATTACTTATGAAGCTACGTATATTTTATGCTTTATACTTTAAAATGTTTGTAATAACATTTACAGAAAAGCCACAAGCAATCATTAAAATCTTTAGCATGGTTAAAATGAATCATTTACATGGAAATGCGTTATTTATTATTATGTTGTGATAGCTAGATATCCTTTGACCTTGGATGGCAGTAGGTATTCTAAATTGAATTTCCAGTCTGTCAGAGCGTAAGGCTATAGATTAAATTATCGATTGTTAATTAACGACTTAATATAAAAACAGAAAGTAAGCTAAAAACAAGTTTAGCATTGTCAAAGCAGATGGAAGGTGATAAAAATATTAAGGATAGAATGCGATCTAATAGTTACGCTATTTTACATAACAGAAGCTGTCAACTCGTAGTGAGAAATATTTTAGAAGCCAAATTCATCCCTACTTCCTTATTCAATTAAGAAACCAGAAAATGTTTATTCATTCGCAATTGAAAGCAGTGGATTAAATCTATTCGTGTACATATGAAAGTCTATATATTATTGTTATAGCATTATTTCAAAGTCATTTATTTTAAGTCATAAATTAAAAATGCAACAGCGTTGATATTGACTGAACAATAAATTTAAGGAATAACTAGATCTATGAAATAATGACTAAAATCAAAGAAAATTATCATTATCATCTTTTATCAAGCAAAGATAACAAGAATTGGACTACTATATTTCATTGTCACGGTACGCCGTTACTAATTAAGTAACTGTAAATTAATGAATGCTTATGAATAGATAAGATAAGGTTATCTGCTATGTTTTAATGCGCTTGTAGCTGATAATAGGATGGTAGAAATGAGATAAAAATAGAAGTTGTTAGCAGTTAATTTACTGTAGGTTTATAAGTTGTGTTAATCTCTAAAAATTGAGCTGTATATGGACGAAGGTTAAGCGTCTTAACACCTGATAGCTTGTAGCTATCTAAGTCTGAGGATATCGACATGTATATTTAGTAATGGTATTATACTAATTAATGTAACTTGCAAAGCATGAATTCTCACTCGTTAATATTGGAATTCACTGTAGAAACCTATTTAAGCGCGTGTGTTTGTAGAATAAAAAAGTAATTGCTCAAGAAACGGCAAGACTCATATCGTGAAGAATAGTGTAATAATTAGTCAGTTGTCTGTGGAGATCAGCCGAGAAATCGAGTTCTCAAATACTTCTCTCATAGAAACTGAAAGTACTGGGAGAAATAGCCCAAGTTTTAAGTAACTACACTAGAGTTCTTTACTTTCCTTTGCCACAAGTGAGGGTTGTGACATTCATAAAGACCTAATACTATTAAGATTAGCGTGATCATATACTCGTAATGCAAAAACGTACAATCTGCCAAAATTATAGGCAGCGATTACCAAGGAAATAACTCTGATATATGAAATAATGTATCCTAAGCTGGAATACTAATACACGTATCACCTGATTTATTCTAATTTCTTTTGGACTTATTTATTTGCTATGCCAACCTTTATACTATTACTTTAGCGCATACGCTACCTACTACCACGATACCTATAAATATGTCTACGACTATGTGATAGGTATTTGTTGCAATATTAATCTTTTATACCTTGTCATTACAAGGTATTGTTTTCGAGAATACGATTATGATGATTTTGTTTATTGGACTACCAAAACAAATAAGGAGCATAATCTGCATATTTTCCTCGTAGTTGAAGAATGCCTACTTTGAACTAGTATAGATCACTTTTAATCTAATATATTTTAATAACTTTTAACTTGCCTTCAATATGTATTATCCTTTAAGCAATCAATTGATTGTAGATTCATTTTTATAAGCATGCAAGAAGTATAATTACTTTTTATTATAACTTGAAGTACAGTTTTGAAACCCTTAGAATGCCAGCTGTGGTAGAGTTTTGGGCTCATCGTCAATAATGGCTGGATAGAATCTCTACTAATCCAAACGTCGTATATTTCTTATACATTTTATTTTCAGCATGTATTTACATCGAACTATGCAACTCGGATATTAAAAAGTAACCTTAATATTCGAGTTGCATAGTTCGATTCGCCTTGTTATCTACAACTTAAAATTTATGAAGATACTGAAAAGCCGTAGCTGTAAATCCGAATCTCAATAATGTAATTTATGGAAGTAAATACTGATATTTATTCTATAGAGCATCAGCTCAAAATTCTTCAGCTGGTATTGATAGTAAATAGTTTGAAATGGTTTGGAGTTCATTATAGTGGCTTTTTGAGGGAAAATCAAGTTATAATTATTATAAATGCTACACACGTCATTATTAATAATTACAACCTGACCTAATTTTCGATGCATAATAACCTAATTTAAGAATATGATCAAACGAACAATACGCAGCAATGATAAAATTAATGTTTCTACCGCATATGCGTCTGGGTTAGAAGTAGCTTAATATAAGATGTAGGAGGTGATGCTATCCGTATTGTAACTGAACCATATTAATTTTTATCAAGTAAAACTACTGATATCTATTAATTAAAGTATCATTACTGATTTCAGATTTAACAGCAATCACACTTGAAAGAGTCAAAAGTGGGTTTTGTACCAATTATAACTAATTAGCGGAGCAAGGTCTGCACATTTAATTGAATGAGAACAGCAGATGAGAACGGTAAAATGTATCAAATAATATATTTTGCTAAAAATAAGAAATAGTAATAGATAAAGATATTCGTATTTGTAATCAAACTATAGTAATCTTTATCAGGTAATACTATATATATATATATCAATTAAAATATTGTAAGGAATTTTAGATCAAGTTGCATATTACACTTAAAAGAGGAAAAAAGGGATTTTTTTCCCAATTATAAACAATTAGAGAAGCAAAGTCTGCTCATATTTTACTGGATGAAAAGAGTAAAATACCTCAAATAATACATTTATAAAAATAAGATATGCAGTCGATGAGATTATCCGCTTAGTAATAGAACTATAGTGATCTTTATAAGTAATACTTTAGGTATCTATTAATTAGATTATCATAATTTATGAATATAATAAATGCAAAATGCGAAGTAATGATAAAATTGATGTTGCTACTGCTTATATGTCTGGTTTAGAGGTAGCCAAAGATAAGATATAGTCGATGAAGTTATCAGCATCGTAGGATAAATGTACCCGTATCAGGTAATAATATAGATATCTTTTAATTAAAACATCATGACGGATTTCAGATTGGATAACAAGTCAAGCTTAAGCAAGATAAAAGTGGACTTTGTTTTAATTATAGATAATAAAATTAGAGGAGCAAGATCTGCTCAAGTAACTGGGTGACAACAGTATTGTAGTAAAGGACTAGAAGTATAGTCCTTTATAGCTTTTAGTATTTTAAGTTTCACCCTGCTAAATCATCATGTCGCCATCTTTTCTTCTTCATTATTTTACAAGGTATTATATACTAAGAATAATTTAACTATGTGTAAAATAAGGTAAAACGTTGCCATGCGGATTGTAGCTGCGAATGCTACGAAAA